CTGAAAATTCGAATGCTATGATAACATGTTGGGTTTGCAATTTGAAGAGATTCACATCTCTCAGGAGTTACAAAACCGTACTCAGACCCATATGCACAGACAACCTGCAGCAATGCCAACTGCCAATGGCTCCTTCTGGAACGGGGACTCGGAGCTTGCCTGGGCTGGACAGTGCTACTTCCCAGAGGATCCTAAGGACTTCCCCAGAGGTGCTCAAGCATTAGGGTCTACCAGAATCCCCTGGCATCCCTAGGTTCTGATCCTGCAGGTCTGCCATGGGGCCCTGTAATCGCGAGACCTCTCTAGCCAGCACCCGCAGTAATTCTGATGCAGAGGGCCCAGGCCACCCTCAGAGAAACGCTCTGCCGCTGTTACTTGTGAAGACCCCACTTTACGGAGAGCAACAGGTTCAAGGGGCTGTGACTCGTCAGGCCTTGCTGGAACCGCATTCCGGTGGTGGCTCTTACCCCACACAAGCAGGAGACACACCTGAACATGACGTCCCCGGCTGCCCACCCGAGTCCTCTTGGTTGAGGGGTAAAATGTAGCTAAAAGTTTAAGAACAAATGATAAATAACTAGCAATTATTACATTTCAACATACAATGCCCCATCTCCTTCTCTGCCCTGAGATTCATCCACTCTCTTCACCACCTCAACATCTCTGAGCACCCTGTGTCAGAGCTGCCTGATCTGTCAAAAAGGTAAAAGTTTTCTAAACCTCTAGCATATGATTCAATTTGTCGGTAAAAACTGCCACCCGCGCTGTGCTTGCAGAAAATTGTCCATAAACACATCACTGTGACTGGCAGAACGATGTCTACAATAAAAACAAATAGATTTAACAAGTGCCTGCTTTTACACGCCACGCCGCTGGTGAACTATCCATTCGGTGTCCCCCAGCTCAGGCTTCTGGGAACGGGCGACAGGGCTGGGTGGGAGACTTTGCTCACTTCACAAGCATCACGGGTAGAGAACTACTCTACCAAGAAACTTTTAGGAGCAGGAAAGTGAACACACCAGCCATTTGTCGCGCTCTCACCATTCATTTCATGGTTACACACACTATGACCAATTGAACAACCATAAGAAAATGTTTTTGTACAATTTTTTACTGGTTTTAGAACAGCTACCTCCGGTGGGGGGTGAAGGGGACATGAGGCCTCCTTGGAGAACCCGGCTCTGCTGTTAAGCCACTGATTCAACTGAAAACAACTTGTGGGGTCAAAACCAAGTTTCACCCTTCAGAGCATCTGCATGGGCAGCCCCCAGGGTGGCCTATTCAGTTATTTAGCTGGAGGAGCTTCGGGCGCGCAGGCTGCCGCCAACCGGCTTCGCTGCCGGGACCCAGCACCTTGGTAGGTCTCAGTGTTTGATCCCTTTACAGGTGAACCACACCAGCCAAAGCCACTCTAATACTTCAAAGATCAACAAAATCAAAAAAATGATTTCTTCCTTTTCGTAAATCACTTTAATAGCTCTATAAAGGAGGAAGTCATTCATTACATTCCATACTATATTCATTAATTAGTTTTCCCCCAAACTATGCAGCCCTCCTATATAAGCTGTACTGTCAATTTTTTTTTTTTTCTTTTGAGACGGAGTCTCGCTCTGTCACCCAGGCTGGAGTGCAGTGGCCGGATCTCAGCTCACTGCAAGCTCCACCTCCCGGGTTTACGCCATTCTCCTGCCTCAGCCTCCGGAGTAGCTGGGACTACAGGCGCCCGCCACCTCGGCCAGCTAATTTTTTGTATTTTTTAGTAGAGACGGGGTTTCACCGTATTAGCCAGGATGGTCTCGATCTCCTGACCTCGTGATCCGCCCGTCTTGGCCTCCCAAAGTGCTGGGATTACAGGCTTGAGCCACCGCGCCCGGCCAATTTTTTTAAGTCAAAAAAAAAAAAAAAAAAACCCAGACTATTTCCACCAACTAGCAGACAAGCAGCAGTTAATGAAAAGCCACAGAACATACATCTTGCAACATTTGGTTCACAACACAAGGTCTCCAACTTCTACTTAGCTCTGCCCAAGACAGGCCTGCAGAGCTAACAGCATAGGTTCACAAACTCCTCATGCCAACCAACAGCCCTCCTGGACAGCTCAAACCTACTCCCTCCCAGATAAACCCTTTCACTTCAAACCAAGAGTGGGGCGTAGGGCTGGCTTGTACATCACGAGCGTCTATATAAAGACCATACCACCCCACGGTCAGGTTATGGTTTATGTGTCTCTGATTTTAAATCCTTCAGGTCTGATTTAAATAATATCCTGCAGGGCCAGACACGGTGGCTCATGCCTGTAATCCCAGCACTTTGGGAGGTCTAGGAGGGAAGATCACTTGAGTCCAGGAGTTCGAGACCACCCTAGGCAACACAGGGAGACCCTGCCTCTAAAAAAAAAAAAAATTAGCCAGGCATGGTGGCACACACCTGTAGTCCCCGCTACTCGGGAGGTCAAAGCAGGAGGTTCGTTTGAGCTCAGGAGTTTGAGGCTGCAGTGAGCTATGCACTCCAGCCTGGGCGACAGAGCAAGTCCTTGTCTCTAAAAGTAATAAAATAATATTCTGTGGTAAGACCCGAGCCCAGACAGTAGCTGGATCAAAAGCTACCTGTCCCAGGAAACAGTCAGGAAGGACTGTAGCAACAGCCCAAGAGCCAAATGAGCACAGGGCCCTTCAGGGTCTGGGAGGCTCAATGTGTCCCCTGTAGGAACTAGAGTCCCAAAGGGAAGTCAAAAACCTCAGGGCAAGTGGATCTGAACAAGGAACTTTATGCTGGGGAAGGGGGTCAGAATGAAGCGCAAAAACAATCAAAGAATAATGCTAAAGGAAAAGATAATGCAGAAAATTCAGTTTTGCCTCTATTTTCTATCAAAGAGAATATACTATAAACTGAAAAGGGTATTAACACCAAAAAAAAAAAAAAAAAAACCTGGAAGGTTTGAATCACTGGCTCCTAAACGTATGTCCTTTGCAAAACAGGACAATTTAGTAAGTTTATTTTATTATAAAATACTGGAAGAGTCAGGGCTTTGGTGTCCTAAGAAAGGGTGGGAAGAAGACTGAAGAGGAACAAACTCTGAAGGGGCAATGGGGAAGGCAAGTTATTTTTCAGGCCTTCCTGCCCCCTTCTTCCCTGCAAAAGAGAGGAGGCCCTGATTGAGACACCTGGGAAGGAAACCCAAACAATGAAAGGTAAGCCCCAGGTGATATCAATGTAAGACCTCGACAAGTTTCAAGAATCTGAGCAGCTGAACAAAGCGCTACCCAATGTGTACCTAGGGCTCTATTTCTTTCAACCTTACTAACAGCAAAGCCTTTTTAAAGTAGTGCCTAATAATATTAGTTAAATCGTTATTGTGATACAGATTTTTTTTTCCTTTGGGACACAGTTTCACTCTCATTGCCCAGGCTGGAGTGCAACAGCGCAATCTGGGCTCACTGCAACCTCCACCTCCCAGGTTCAAGCAATTTTCCTGCCTCAGCCTCCCAAGTAGCTGGGATTACAGGCACGCACCACCACGCCTGGATAATTTTTGTATTTTTACTAGAAACAGGGTTTCACCATGTTGGTCAAGCTGGTCTCAAACTCCCAACCTCGGGTGATCCACCCACCACGGCCTCACAAAGTGCTGGGATTACAGGCGTGAGCCACCGTGCCTGGCCCAGATATTTTTTATTATTATTAAAATATATACATTGAAAAGTACCTGAGTATAGCTCTGTACTGGAGGCCTACTTCATCCAGGCCCCTGACTGTGGCAGACACCACTCCACTATTCGAATTCTAACAGGAGAGGGAGGGCGCAGGAAGACAGACACGACAGGCGGCAGAGTAAGGCCAGCTCTCCTCTGCCCCTTGCAGGCAGGCTCTGGGTCCCAGCAAGTATCCTGGCCCTCTGAGTTAATGTGTTGTTAACCATCAGGCAGGCTCTTGACTCGGTTTCCTTCAACGTTTTCACAGCCCCACCCACCAAGTGTGCTAAGCTTTCGTTTTTTTTAGATCTGTTCATCTCTCAGAGTGTTTTAGCCAGAGTGGGCCCTGAAAATAACAAAACCATCTCCTAGTCACCTGCCCAGGGATGAGGCAGATGACGGGAGAGTCTGCCGTCACAGATACTCTATAGGTTTATATTTGGATGTCTATGTAAATAACCAGTCTAATTCTCAGCTCTCTGTGCTTAACTCTCTCTGCTTAACATTTTACTGAGAACAGCTGTGGTGACCCCTCTCTGGACCAAGCCGCTTCCCTCAGTCTGATGATGGTCCCAGCAGGCAAAAGTTGCACACACATGTACAAAGTCTGCTTTCCAGGACAGAAAACCAGCTACCCGGCTGAGGCAACTGGGAGCAAACACCACCCTGAGATTTCAGGAGATGATGAACCCAGGAGTGCGAAATACATAGTTCAGAACTCCTCTGCGGTATTGTCACCAACGTGGGAATTACGGTGCCCTGTGTGTGTGGCTCTCCAGCGAGCCTTGCTTACTCTAGGTATTGATGAATACAACTAGGGTGTGAGGTACACAAACACCAACCATGGTTAGGAGGAGGCCCTTAGAACTTGGCCTCCAGCAGGAAGGAAATAAGGGACTCTGCCCAAGTATGCTAAAGGCTTGCTGCAAGCCAAGGCCCGCGCAGGGGCTTCTGGAAGCTTCCCGGAGCAGCTGGCGGAGGGTAAACTGGCAGCATGGAGGGGCAGGAAGAACCCGGGGCCCGGGCCTGGAGCCGGCACCTGGAGGTAAGGCAGGGGCTGCCACGACCCCCGCCACACGCCAGGCCACAGTCACTGCAGCGCAGCCTGGTCCAGGAACCCCAGGCCCGGGGGAAGGCTGGGCAACACTTTGGAGGCACTTGCGGCGCACCTGGAGTTCGCCCGGGGTGGGTGGCGGTCAGGGCGGCCCCACACCCGAGTGAGGGCGCCTGCAGGACCACTCGAGACTGCCGCCGTCCCGAAGGAGAGCCCCGCAACTCTGCCGGGAGCGAGGCGACCCAGACACTCACCAAGTCGCAAACGGTGCGGACCCCGAGGACCTGCGGGCGCCGGCACGCAAAGCGTTCTAGTGGCGCGGGCCGTCCCAGCATATCCGGGGCGCGGGGGCGGGGCCGAGGGGCGCGGGGCTGGCGGCGTGGGGCGGGGTCTAGAGCGGGGCGGAGCCGAGGACCTGAGAAAAGCAAGAGAGCGCGCGGGGGCGGGGCCGGGGGCGCGCGGGGGCGGGGCCGGGGCGGGGCCGGGGCGGGGCGGGGTGTTCCCGCCCGACAGGGTCGGCGCATGCCCAGTGCGGCGGCGCCGGTCCTGAGCCACTCTGCGCAGCCTCGCTGGATGCCGACGCGCGGACCCGGGTCCTGCAGCAGCGCTAGCTACTTTGTGCGCCTGACCCCAGGGCCCTTCGACCGGTACAAACCAGGCAGCGGCTTCCCAGCTTCCGCCTCAGGTTCTGTGCCTTAGTTTGCCAAATAGCCCATACCTTTTCCTGTCACAGGGATAGTCCGCGGGCGTGCAAGCGACCTGCCACGTGCCCGAGTCGTCCTGAAGGCGCGCGGGGGTCGTAGGACGGCGCCCGCTTAGTGAGAATCCCAGTCCTGCTCGGGGCGGCTACACTGAGCCCGGAGCGCGAGTCTCTCCCCTCCTAAGGCCGCTTCCCGGGTCAGGGACCCTCAGACCGGCAGAGACCCTGTCAGGGGGCCGTGGGGCAGCCTCCAGGGCCTGTGGTGGGCGGTCCCGTCCAGGCGCTGCAGTCACCGATGGCCTAGACACCGCCAGGGCCTGACTCAGCCGCTCTGCAGAAAGCGCACAGGGTGCCAGGCCCTGCTTGGGGTTGTGTGGACATTATTAGGAGCTGAATTGTGTCCACCAGAAAAGCTGTGTTGGAGTCCTAACTCCCAGTACCTCACAGTGTGACCATATTTGGATGTGGGGACTTTACAGAGGTAACAAGTTAAAATGAAGCCATCAATTAGTGGGCCCCTCATCCAGTAGGACCCGTGTCCTTATAGACAGAAGGCCACTTGGGGAGGAGGATTGGAGGGCTGCACCTGCAAGCCGCCAGAAGCCGAAGAGGACAGACTCTTCCCTGGAGCCTTCGGAGGGAGCAGGGTCCTAACACACCTTGGTTTCAAACTTCTGGCCCCCGAAAGTGTGAGACAATAGGTTTCTGTTGTTTAAAGCCACTCAGTGTGTGGCACTTTATTATGGCAGCCCCAGGCAATGGGTACAGAAACCATTGTCTCTAACATGGTTGGCATAACCACCCCAGGGAGTAGTATCATCCCTGGAGGCTTTGGAGAGGTCACACACCCCTTGGCAGTTTCAAGGATTCCATCCAATGCCCACATGCTCTAAGGCACCATTGCTATGGGCCTTCTAGGTTCTGTTTGTTATCTTAATGGAAAGGGGTCTTCACCTTCCCAGTGTAGCTTCCCAGCTGAGATTTGGCCAATGCTCATACCTTCGTATTTGTGACTTGCAGGATCCAACATATTAGCATGAGTGATAAGGGTTGTTCAGAGGAGAACTTCAGCAGGATTTGCTTTGGGATGAGCCCCGGTGACAATACAGGCTGCATCATTGATCCTCTGAAGTTCCCCACCCTGGACTATGCCTTGGATGAGACATGTTTTAAATAGCTGCTTGTGGAAAATAAACTAGGCCCTGAGTACACAGTATAATGGTCAAATCAAGGCACTTTTTCCCCACTGAGCCTGGACACAGCCTTGGAATCCTTCTCAATACTGTGTTCCAAGCAGCCATTCACATTTCAACTAATGTGGAAGGAGAGATGAAACGTGTTTGGCCTTGGCTCTGGTTTTTTCTATCAGCCTTCTGTAAGACTTTGGGAGACTCATCTGACTGCTCTAATCCTCAGTTTCATACTCTGTAAAGGAGTCTTATGATAATGTACCGTGCGTGTATACAAACTATCCTTCCATGTTAGGGCATGTGTGCATAGGGAAAATAAACCACCAGCACCACACCATACTACTAAGAAATGATGCTATACGCCGGGCCGCTTACAGCCTGTTACTACCAGGACCCAGTTAGAACCGGGATCCTAATAGAACCAAAGGAAAAACAATGCTGAAATGGAATCAGAGTGCTGACCAGTATTGCAACAAGTGTGCTGTTAAGTAGTTTTGCAGTTAACACAGAACTCATACGTTTATCTGAATAATATTTTCAGACGAATCCCTAAACTCTTAAGAAAAAGAGACTGGCCAGTCTTAGCATCTCTGATTCCCCACCCTAGGAAAGAAAGGCCAATGTGGTCATCCAAAGGCCCTTTAGGAGGGCCCTGTGGGAATGGGGAGGTGGTCCACGAGAGAAAGTGCTGGCTTCCCGGGGAGACGTGTGGACCTGGCCCTGGCTCCACTGACAGGACTCAGTCCCGTTGCTGGTGTGGTAGGAAGGACTATATGAAGGGCCACAGCTACTTCAGTGGTAAGGACTGTGTCAGGGGCTCCAAGATCAGGAGCTGAATGTAGGTCTCAGCGCAGAGGGGCAAGAGGGAAAAGGCCACCACCTGACCAATGACTGGCCTGCAAAAGACCAGAATTCAAGGATGTGACCGCTTACGCTGTCCGATGAGCAGAACTCAAACCCACACTCCCTACACTTGCTGGTGCAAGCTCCTCCCTTCATCATGGTAATTTGAAAAACCCACATTTTCATCAAGAGCTCCCCCACGCCTCTCCCCTTTGTCCCATTACAATCTCATTATCGCCTGTGTGTTCATCCTACTGTTAAAGGAACACAGGATGGCTCCAAAGCGAGGAGGTCACCAGGTCCACTGAAGAGTAAGGAACACAGGACAGGGAGGCTCAGATGTGGTGCCAGCCCTGCCCCTCACTGAGCAACCCCTGACTTCTCTGTTGATAGGATGACAGTGCAGGACTAGTTGGGTGAGATTCCTTTGAGGTCTCCCATCTTCAGATTAACAAATCACAACCCCTTTTTCTCCAGACACAGATTCCTATGAAGGACTTTTTACAAAAGAGGTGGGAAAACCGCAAAAGGGTATGCTCAACTCCATTCCAACTTCTTCAAGGAGCTCCCTGGATTTCCTTTAAGATCAGCCAGCTTTCTTGTGGGCACTGGGAACAATGTTAATTTGCATAGTTTCTTTAAACATCCAAATAGACATCTTTCGGGTTAAGCAAATGAACGTGACATGCGATTGCTTCTAATGATTTGCAACCCAAGAAATTTGTTTAATAAGCCTGTCTTCCCAAGCTACTTTTGTGACATTAGAGACCATTTACAACAAAGCTGTCTTCAGTAGTCAACCTTAATCCTTACTACCCTACCTTTGGGAAATGAAAGGATTTTATAACGATCACATAAAACCTTATGTGGTTTGAAAGCCCCAAACTCCGGACAAATGTGTGATGGTCGTGTAACAAAAGAAACATATTACAGAGCTCCCCACTTTAAGTGTTTTACATATGGTTTGCTTTTAGGATAGCATCTCTGGTGGAGGGCTTTGCTGATTAACACAATTGATTTTCTTAGCCCCAGTGTTCCTGTAAATGTTGGAGCCAAGAGCTGGAGTCAGCGCCTTGGACCTGGGAGAGGCCAGGAGGCCAGGGAGTCTCAAGCACTCTGGAGGAAGAAGCCTGAAATGAAAAGGTGGGGGCCATCAGTAGCGGGGTTTGGTGCCAGGTGCTTCTGATTACACTCCTGTGTGACACTAGTTGTCAGCATGGCAGAGGCATTGTGGTGTAACTGCAGTAGGGAGTGTAATCCATGAGTAGGCAGGAGAAAGGGCGGGAAGGAAGGACTTCAGGCAGGAGAAGGGGCGGGAAGGAGGGACTTCAGGCAGGAGAAGGGGTGGGAAGGAGGGACTTCAGGCAGGAGAAGGGG